TTTTTGAGACAGAGTTTTGCTCTGTCACTCAGGCTAGAGTGCAGTGGTGCAATTTCAGCTCACTGCAACCTCCACCTCCCGGGTTCAAGTAATTCTCCTACCTCAGTCTCCCAAGTAGCTGGGACTACAGGCACATGCTACCATGCCCAGCTAATGTTTGCATTTTTGTAGAGATGAGGTTTCACTATGTTGGCCAGGCTGGTCTCAAACTCCTGACCTCAAGTGATCTGCCCGTCTTGGCTTCCCCAAGTGCTGGGATTATAGGCATGAGCCACCACGCCCAGCCAGAGTCAGCTTTTTTTATTTTGTTCTCCCACTCATCCTATTTCAGCAGCTTCTAGTGCTTTATGCTTTCCTGTGAATAGCCATCTTCTTCCCTGACTATGTGGCAAGGGTTCAACGTGAATGTCAGGGTTTCATCTGTGTTCTATAGACCATCTCCATAAAAAGTAGGAAGCAACATGCACATTTCCACCTATGTAGAAGTAATCAGAGATCACCTCAAAAGCTAATACCCTTCTCAAAAGCAAGCAAACAAGGTAAGTAAGGATGATGAACAGGTACAAAATATAGTTAAATAGAATGAATAAGATCTATTGTTTGATAGCACAACCAGAATGGCCATAGTCAACAATTTATTGTACATTTAATAATAACTAAAAGAGCATAATTGGAACATTTGTACACAAAGCAAGAAATGCTTCAGGTGATGGTACCCTATTTACCCTGATGTGATTATTACACATTGTGTGCCTATGTCGAAATATCTCATGTATCCTATAAATATATGCAACTACTATGTAACCATAAAAATTAAAATAGATATATAAAATAAAGATAAAGCAAGAAAGCAAGCATTCCATGCCTGGGGCAGGGACAGCCTGGGAACACTGGGTCTGGTATGGGAGGCACAGACCCAGCAGGCACTTCCTGCCCCAAAGCTGCAGTTCAGAAGCTCAGTCCAAGATGCAGTGATTTGTGGTGACACTGAATCAAAGGCCACAGTGACAAGTCCAGGATTGTCCATCCAAAGAGATGAGCCAAAGAGAGAGACTCGGCTTGGCACAGTGGCTCAGTGTAGAATACCGGCCCTTTGGGAGGCTGAGGTGGGCAGATCACCTGAGGTCAGGAGTTCAACACTAGCCTGGCCAACATAGTGAAACCCTGTCTCTACTAAAAATACAAAAAAAAAATTAGCCAGGCTTGGTGGCAGGTGTCTGTAATCCCAGCCACTCAGGAGACTGAGGCAGGAGAATCACTTGAACCTGGGAGGTGGAGGTTGCAGTGAGCTGAGATGGTGCCACTGCACTCCAGCCTGGGAGACAGAGTGAGACTCAGTCTAAAAAAAAAAAAAAAAAAAAAAGGAGAGAGAAAGACCCTTGATAGAAGGCCTCAGGGCAAATGAGAAATAAGAAAGGGAAGGTGGAGGCAGAACTGGAAGAAGAGCTAGAGTTCTTTCTGTAGGGGCAGCAGTCGCTGTCCTGGCTGGGTTGAAAGCCATGAGACACCTAACCTAATATGCTGCCCATCCTCTCTAGACTGGATTCATCCCCAAAACTTGGAATAGCTCCTAGACTTGTCCAGGTGCCACAGTGAGCTGGCCCAAGGGAGCATCCTCCTTCCCTACCTGTCCACAGTACTGACGGCCCATTAGGGTAGGCAGTATGTTTTGTTTTCTTGTTGTTTTCTCAACATGTAGCACAGTACCGGCTCATCTGTTGAGCAAATGTGTGAATGACACAGTGAATGAACTCATCGCAGGCACTACTAATAGTTTCTGGAGTCACCTTCTAAAATGCTCCATGGTGAGCCCTTCTACCTACCTGTTCTTAACCTAAACGCTGTCAATCCCAAATCAAATTATAAGCAAATGATATACTGCAAACTGTTTAAAAGATAATGGTAGTCACCAAATTTATTAGCCACCCGAGCTGCTGAATTCCAAATAAAATGGCTGCATTTATTTATTTATGTCATTTTATTTATTTACTTATGACATAATAAATAATTAAAAGCAGCCATTTTTTATGACAATGTTCAAGTCTGCTTTGGGGACTAGAAGTGCTCCGGCCAGTTATGAAACTGATATAGTTCAAGGTAGCTATCACTGAAGAAAGGAAATCAGTGCTACAGAAATTGAATCCCTGATATTCTCATTTATAGAACTGAAACTTATATGCTTGATTTACGTAACTGAAAAATTAAAGTTTAAGAAAGGATTTGCAAAAGATAAAATGTAATGACAGTGAGAGTGAATGTTAACAATCAGTTGTCCTTTCAACTAAAGCAGAAAATGCACTAAGGATAGTCTTCTACTCTCTCAGCCAACTTAGTGGCATCTGTGGGATATGTGTGTGTGCACATGTGTGCAAGTGTGTCAGTGCACACATAATGGGAAGGGAGGATGCAGAGGTTCCAATACAGGAGGCAAGACTCAGGAAGGATGATGCAAGGGGTGGATCTCGGCAGCCCAGAGGCACCCATGAGACCATGGCTTCATGCCAGAGAGGCACTAGCCCAAAAAAGTAGTTCGTTATTTTTTGTAATCCACAGACTTAGGGTACAAGGACCCAGGAGAACAGCCCCTCCACCCCACAGGCTCTGCCTCTCCTTCAGTTCTGAGCTCAAGGCAATTCATTAGGGGATGCTGATTGGAGTTATCAGATGATACAGAGAAGGCTCATGAGTTTTAAGGAAGACAAATGGGTGGCAAAAGGGGAAGCTGGACAAGTCCTAAATCAACTTCCTTTCCATTCCTGCACTCCTGTGTTTACCTTGAAATAACTATTTTTTAAAAACAGAAGCATAGCAGAGTAATTTAAATCTCTGACAATCATTTATTTCAGTCCAGTAAAGTAGAATAACACCATATTAAATTAATCATACTCCTGAAAATCCCAAATGTGTTACCCATCACATGGACAACTTTTTTTTTTTTTTTTCTTTTTGAGACAGAGTTTCTCTTTTATTGCCCAGGTTGGAGTACAATGTCATGATCTCAGCTCACTGCAACCTCCGCCTCCCATGTTCAAGTGATTCTCCTGCCTCAGCCTCCTGAGTAGCTTGGATTACAGGCATGTGCCACCACATCTGGCTAATTTTTTTTGTATTTTTAGTAGAGACAGGGTTTCACCATGTTGGCCAGGCTGGTCTCGAACTCCTGACCTCAGACGATCCACCTGCCTCAGCCTCCCAAAGTGCTGAGATTAAAGGCATGAGCCACCATGCCCAGCTGGATAACTTTTTTAAGCCATAATAAAGAGCCCTCAAAGAGGATATTAGGATGAAAGTGATGTAAACAAATCCTAGTTCTGTGTCTTATTGATGCAAAAGTTTTCAGAGTTTTAGTTTGGGATAATGAAATAGCTTTGGAGTTGAATGGAGGCAACAGTGGTAGAACATTGTGAATGTCCTTAATGCCACTGAACTGTACACCTAGCTTTAAAAGGTTAAAATAGGTTTTAAAAGGTGTGTCTTAAACATTCTTTGGCATTCATGTATTTCATCTTGACAGTAGAAAATGTTTGAACTATGGAAATTGACAGAAAAATATAATAAATCTAACTTAAATAATCAGTTAAACTGAAGTCAAATGAAGCATTTATTATGATAGAAGTACCTGAAGTTATATGACAAAAAACTATGGCAATTGGAAGATTGTAATTTAAATAATTTTTTTTTTCTTGAGCTAGAGTCTCACTCTGTCGCCCAGGCTGGAGTGCAGTGACATGATCTCAGCTCACTGCAACCTCCACCTCCTGGATTCAAGTGATTCTCCCACCTCAGTCTCTCGAGTAGTTGGGACTACCGGTACCTACAACCACACCCGGCTAATTTTTGTGATTTTTGTAGAGATGGGGTTTCACCACATTGGCCAGGTTAGTCTTAAATTCCTGATCTCAAGTCAACCTTCCGCCTTGGCCTCCCAAAGTGCTGGGATTATAGGCATAAGCCACCACACCTGGCCTCAAGTAAATTTTTATGACAGTGTAATGTTTAAAAAACATAATAGTAGGGAATCCATATACTATTCCTTTTAGGATAAGTTAATAAAGCTCTGTGGGTTATAATTTTTTAAAGCTTCCCTGGTGAACAATAGAACAGAAAAGGACATCATTCTCAGCAAACTAACACAGGAACAGAAAACTAATCACCATATGTTCTTACTCATAAGTGGAAGTTGAACAGTGAGAACACATGGACACAGGGAGGGGAACATCACACACCCAGGGCCTGTCGGGGGATGTAGGGTTAGGGGAGGGATAGCATGAGAAGAAATACCTAATGTAGATGATGGGTTGATGGGTGCAGCAAACCGCCATGGCACATGTATACCTATGTAACGAATCTGCACTTTCTGCACATGTATCCCAGAACTTAAAGTATAATTTAAAAAAATAAAATAAAGACATCTATAGATTTCTAGTATGCAGTACTAATGGGAGAAGCCCTCTGAAAAACCAATGTCCAAACCTATGCAGAACTAATCATTTGAAAACTCAAAGTTCGAGTATGCTTTTTAATTCCACTTCAGGGTATGCCTCATGAGTACACTGAGACGGTAGAGATCAATAAGTATATATCTTTTGAAAATTGTGTATATTTGTGTTGCAGGGTCTATATTTTCCCAGCTATTGTTTATCTTTAAATAGTGTTGATGTAAGATAATTTTAAACTTCCGAATATCACAGAAACTTACTCTCATATCATAAACAAAGGGCTAATCTTACTAATAAATAAGTAGCTCCTTAAAAGTATATCAGAGGCCAGGCACAGTGGCTCACAGCTATAATCTCAACACTTTGGGAGGTCAAGGCATGAGGATGACTTGAACTTAGAACTTTGAGGTTACAGTAAGCTCTGATTATCCCACTACACCCCAGCCTGAGACAGAGCAAAACACATGTTTCAAAAAAAGAATATCAGGAAAAGATCAATATTCTAATATAAAAATAGACAATATGTGAAAAGTATTACATATTGTAATATGTATATAATATAAAATATTATATTTATATAATATAAAAATGACTAACAGTCATTTGTGTTTTGATTTTTTTTTTTTATCCATGTAGAGAGTTTTAACTTTTTAGTTAAAGTGACTAATTTGTGCTTTGTGGTTTCTGGTGTTTGAATAAAATGTTAAATGATCATTAAAAAAAAAAAAGAAAGAAAGAAACTCTCAGATGAAGGCTAAGGCAGTACTTGATTTCCATATCTGGTTTTGTTAACACATATATTACTCTCTCTCTTATTTGTTCAAAAATTGCAAATCCTATGCCTCCCCATGTCCTGGAGTCAAAACAACTCTGGATAGAAAGTGATTATGCAAAGTTTATTCTAAAATCAAAAGTGAAATAAGCCCTCCTACAGTTTTTGTTTAGTTAAAAACAACTTACTGAATCACATTTCTGATGAGGAATTTGAAAGTGCAAAATGCCAACATCCTGTGTTGGGATCATAATTTCCAATTTGCATGGGAAAAATTTGTATCTACAACATTGAAAAATAATTTCTCCTCTGCCTAAGAATATCCTCCCCTTTCTCGCCCCGGGGCCCCCGCTGTTTCTGTAGCTATCACCTCCGTCTCCTCTCCAAACTTTCCTGTCTTCCCTTTCATTGCTCAGCTTCTAGCCACCTTGCCTTTCTTAACGCCTCTTCAGCATTTGATACTATTGGCCACTTCCTAAAACTCTCACATCTCTTAAAGTCCCCCCAAAAATCCCCTCCTGGTTCTCTTTCTGCCATCTGGATGGCCCCTTCTTAAAAATTCTCTTCTAAGATTGCTCTCTGCCCGTCCTTTCAATGCTCCTGTGCCTCAGGATTCCATTCCAGTCCCCTGCCCTTTTCTCCTATCCATTTAATTTTTTGCATGATCATATTTCCAGTCCTTCCTTGGTGCCTCCTGTCATCTCAGCCCTCCCTTACTGCATTCAAGCCTTAAAGGCATGATCTGGATGTCTAAGAGCCACCCCAGTCCTCACTTGCCCAAAACCCTTGTCTCCATGACTCCCCAAATGTGTCTCCTCTCTAGAATCCCCAGTCTCAGTATTGCCAGCACCCGTCCATCCCACGCTTCTCAAAAGAGCTCTCTCCATGCAACCTGTGTAGTCATCATGCCTCTAATCTATTTTCTAAACTTCTCCAAATTTTATCTTCCTCTCTCCATTCCACTGCCTCCATTCAGCTTTCAGCATCACTCACCAGGGGCTCTTGTAACAGGCCCCGTCACCCTCTGCCACCTACTCTTCCCTCTCTCTTCTCTTTCCTCTCATATTACCCATCCCTCTAAAATACAAACCTGATTAATACCCCTGGATTTGAAAACATCACAGACTCCCCAGCGCTTTCTGAATAAAATCTAAACTCCTTAGCATGCGTAGGAAGACTCTTCGTGTAGACTTTCTCTCATTGCTATCTTCTTTCCATCTGTCCATCTCATCCTCATAGACCCTGCCCTTCCCTTTCTTGAGCATTTCCTGGTCTTGTACAACAGAACCATGGGCCAGACCTCCCATTCTGCTAGGTGACCTACCATTCATACTCTTCATGGCTCATTCCAAGAATTGTCTTCTCCAGAACCCTCCAACAGAGCTGGCTAACTGGGATTCCCATCTGCAGGGAGTCTGCAACTCCCGACCTTGATGCCCCTCTTGCCTCAAAGGGAGGGATTAGCGGTATACTGCGTGTCAGCCATGGAGCACAGGTCAACATGAGAGTCCTTGAAAGGACCACAAACTACAGAGTTTTGAGAATTCCTTTTCCTGCTGTGGGCACCTATACTAGTCCATTTTCATGCTGCTGATAAAGACATACCCAAGACTGGGTTATTTATAAAGAAAAAGGGGTTTAATGGACTAATAGTTCCACATGGCTGGAAAGGCCTCACAATCATGGTGGAAGGCAGAAGACATGTCTTACGTGGTGGCAGTCAAGCAGAGAATGAGAGCCATTAGAAAGAAGAAAATCCTTATAAAACAATCAGATTTCAGGAGACTTATTCACTACCATGAGAACAGTATGTGGGAAACCACCCCCATGATTCAGTCATCTCCCACTGGGTCCTTCCCATAACACATAGGAGTTATGGGAGCTACAATTCAAGATGAGATTTGGGTGGGGACACAGCCAAACCATATCAGCACCTCAGCACCCAACTCTAGTAGCCCAAGGACAGCCTATTCACCTGCCTTTGGAAATGTTCCGTAGGAATTGAACCTTACAGCAATTTATCAGATAATATATTACTAAACCCATTGCAGAGAATTCTAAGGATCTTGAAAAAGGTTCTTATGGTAATATGTTCCTTGGATTATTCTATGTTATATCCATTTTATTAAAATGAAATGTCGCAGTCAACTACTTCACATAATATCCAATACATTGATTTTTATTGAGCACTAATAGGCCAATGTTGAGTGCTTGAGATATGAAAAATGAATAAGCATGGGCCACAAGATAAAATTAAATCCGTGAGGGAGTACAATTAGCAAAGTATCATTCTGTGCATGGCACACAGAAAATTATGATTATGATGTGTTCATTTCCATGCTGGAATCTGATTAGAAAATCTGATTTGAGGCCAAGCATGGTGGCTCATACCTGTGTTCCCAACACTTTAGAAGGCCGAGCCAGGTGGATCACCTGAGGTCAGGAGTTCGAGACCAGCCTGCCCAACATGGGGAAACCGTGTCTCTACTAAAAATACAAAAATTAGCTGGGCATGGTGGCAGGTGCCTATAATCCCAGCTACTCAGGAGGCTGAAGCAGGAGAATTACTTGAACCTGGGAGGTGGAGGTCGCAGTGAGCACAGATCGCACCATTGCACTCCAGCCTGAGTAACAAGAGCAAAACTCTGTCTTAAAGAAAAAAAAAAAAAAGAAAAGAAAATCTGATTTGATAGATAGAATGTCATTATAATGAATCCTTTCCAGGAACATGCATTTCTAATGTTAAAGGTTCTTCATCATATGCTAGGCAATTCTAGAAATTGGTTTAAAAAACAGCCTAATGAGGCTAGGCACAGTGGCTCATGCCTGTAATCGCAGCACTTTGGGAGGCTGAGGCAGGTGGATCACCTGAGGTCTGGAGTTCAAAACCAGCCTGGCCAACATGGTGAAACCCCATTTCTACTAAAAATACAAAAAATTAGCCGAGCGTGGTGGTGGGTGTCTGTAATCCCAGCTACTTGGAAGGCTGAGGCAAGAGAATCGCTTAAACCAAGGGGGCAGACGTTGTAGTGAGCTGAGATTGCGCCATTGCACTCCAGCCTGGGTGACGAGAGCAAAGCTCTGTCACAAAAAAAAAAAAAAAAAAAAAAAAAAGCCAGATGAATGAAAGATGCAGATAACCCTTCTTTATAACCAGGAAATAATTTAGACAGAAGAACATTATGGAACAAATGTATATCAATGGGTCAGTAACTGTAGGTCTTTGAGATAAAAAGGGCTCAGGGGCCTTCTTCTGCAACCCCTTCCAGACTTGCTGAACACAGCATCAGGTATTGTGAATATCTGTGAGCAGTGTCTTCCCTGGTTCTGAGGAAATGAAACAGAACAATTCAGTCACTGCTGCAGAAAGATTGTTTTAAAGTCGTTAGAAAAGAGCTTAAATTTTATTGTATTTTGTATGTTGTACTTTGTGTTCCATTTTATCTCTATATTACCACTAAAGTTGATACATCCTTGCCACTAAACTGTGTTTTCTTGGTTTCTTGATTGTTGCATTTATTGTTCTTTATTTAAATTAATAATTTATTATAAGGAAATAGAATATAAATAAGCTAACTTCAGTATTCAGTCTCTACCATGATTTAAAGACTCTGATGTGTTCCCACTGCTGTTGTTTGCAGAACTGTACAAATATCGAGTGTTTACAAATCTCCTGTGCAGTGGGACGACTCGAGGGAGGAGAAAGTGCAGTCCTGAAAGTCAGATCACGATTATGGGCCCACACGTTCCTCCAGGTAAGAAACACCCACAGAAGCACATACACACTGCTCACTAGGAACTGCTTCACAAAAGCCCAGTGGGAAGTCTTTTCATAAAGATTTCTAATTTAACACTTTGGGAGTCTGAGGCAGGTGGATTACTTGAGGCCAGGAGTTAGAGACCAGCCTGGCCAACATGATGAAAACCCATCTCTACTAAAAATACAAAAATTAGCCAGTCATAGTGGTGAACACCAGTGGTCCCAGCTACTTGGGAGGCTGAGGCACAAGAATCCCTTGAACCTAGGAGACAGAGGTTGCAGTGAGCCAAGATTGTGCTACTGCACTCCAGCCTGGGTGACAAAGTGAGATGTTGCTTCAAAAAAAAAAAAGATTTTTAACTAAAAAATTATTTTTATTTAATTTTTTATTTTAAAATTTTTCCATTTTCTTAAAACTTGAATTTTAAATTTAAAACTTTTTAATGTTTTTTTTAATGTAAAAGTTTTCATTAAAAAAATATTTTAAAGAAAATTTATGTGGAGGAGTTGAGTAAGATGAACTGGTCCTTTTTCCCAGCAGGTGAAGACAGTTTAAATATCCTGAGTTCCTAAGACCTCGATAGTAGATTCAGAAAATATACTTAGTGCACTGTTATATAGCTAGTGTTGGGTACAGTAACTATTGTTCAGTGGCAGCATGGTGAGTCTGAGAACATAATTCAAGACATATATGTCCAGAGAAGTTAAAATAGAAATCAATTTAGAAGGGCAAAGGGAGGTTGTTCTAGAAAGTTCCTCTTGTCAGGTCATCCTGAAGCATGAGCTCCAACCTTAGCCAAGCTCCAGGTATGTGCTATGATTTACAGATTATGCACCACTCATGTTATCACCTCTGCATCCCACAACAGCCAGGGATCATTCCACCCACAACAGCCAGGGATCATTCCATTGATTGTGTGCTCTGTCACCCAGGCTGGAGTGCAATGGTGCAATATTGGCTCTTTGCAACTCCCTCCTCCCAGGTTCAAGCAATTCTGCTACCTCAGCCTCCCAAGTAGCTGAGACTACAGGCGTGCACCACCATGCCCGGCTAATTTTTGTATTTTTGGTAGAGATGGGGTTTCGCCATGTTGGCCGGGCTGGTCTCAAACTCTTGACCTCAGGTGATCCACCTGCCTTGGCCTCCCAAAGTGCTGAGATTACAGGGGTAAGCCACTGCACCTAGCCAACTGTGTGCATTTTAAAAGTTTAAAATTTAGTTTATGCTAAGAAAATGAGAGTTTCCTTTTGGAAACCATTGTTTATTTAAATGATTCTACTGTGTTACAACCTTATTGTTCGGGGAAGTTTTTTTTTTTAAATCCTAAGCTAACTCTTACCACATCTGCACATTCTTGCTCACATTTTAACTACTAAACAAACTCATTTGGTTTATTGTGCCTTGAAAAATCAAAGTGTCAAGTCCCTTGGAGTCTAGTTATAAATATAGAATTTTAATCTCTAGATTTTTATGTTTTCTATGATTTAATATGCTTCTATAGTCTCATCAATCTTGTTTTTGCTTTTAAAATAAACATAAGGAAAATTAAAGTTTTTTTTTTAAAAAGGTCATTATGAAGCCATCTCCCCTCCCTTCCCTTTCCTCCCTTTCTTCCCTTCCTTCCCTTTCTTCCCTTCCTTCCTGCCTCTTTCCTTTCTTTCATTTTTTATTTTTTTCATTTTTTTCTTTTATTTCTTTCTCTCTCTTTCTTTTCTTTCTTTCTCTCTTTTTCTCTCCTTCCTCTTCCTTCCTTCCTTCCTTCTTTCTTCCCTTCCTTCTTTTCTTACTTTTCTCCTAAGGCAGAGTTTTTCAATCTCTACACTATTAACATTTTGGACCAGATCATGCTGTGTTGTTCGGAGCCACCCTGGGCATTAGAAGATATTTAGCAGCATACCTGACCTCTATCTAGTAGGTATCAGCAGCACCCTTACCCCAGGTATGACAACCAAAATTATCTCCAGATATTACCAGTGTCCTCGGGGGACAACATCATCCCATTTTGAACCGCTGACCTAAGGAGAGGCACAGTGCCCAATTTATATGACTCTTTTTAAAATAAAACCATTATATATTCATTCACTCAACAAATATGTAGGGAGGACCTACTCTGTGCCAAGGGCTGCTTCAGGGTCTAGTTATAGGAGAAATAGCTGTGAACAAAACAGACAAAGCACCTGCCTTCACAGAGCTGTTATCTCAGGGGAGGGAGTCAGACACTGAGCAGGTAAACCAATGCATCCGTGCCAGGAAGGAAGTAGAATGGGGTGGTGAGATCAGGGTAGTGGGATAAAGATTAGAGAGTGGGGCTGCTTCTGCAGGTAGGATGGGCAGAGGAGAGCCCTAGGAGGAGGTGCTATGGAACCGAGATCTGAGACGGGAAGACCTGCAGGCAGAGCTTGACAGAAAACAACCAGCAGTGCCAAGGCCCTGAGGCCAGCATACTTTAGAACTGTTCAAATAATAAATGGAGACCACCATGTCTGTATTACTGCAGATGAGACAGACATTATAGGAATTACATGCCATAGACAGGAGCCTGGAATTTAGTCTAAGTGCAATGGACCACCACAAAGTTAATCTAAGAAGTGATGTGACAATTAGGTTTTTTAGAGAATAGGAGTAAATAAATTAATACATACTCTAACAAAGCAATGCTACACAGTAATAAAAAGGAATGAATTAGACACATTGGCATGGATGAATCTCAGGAACATAATATTGAGTTTTAAAGTCAAGTCAATTATGATTACATTTATATAAAGCTCAAAAAAAAAAAAAAAAACAGGCAACCAAAGCAGTAGGTTGGTAGAACTTTAAAGGAAAACAAGGAAATGAAAGCACAAAATTCAAGAGAGTAGTAAGTAGCCTTTTAGAGTAGAAGACATTTAGCAAGAAACAAAGAGAATGTTTCAAAGGTACTTACTGGTAATGTTTCATTAAAGTCAGGGGTAGGCATATTCAACTTGGCTTCTTTCTCTATCATCATATGCTATAAATGATATATGTTTACTCAGCATCTAATAAAACAGCTTTGAAAGGGCAATATTGGAAACACTGGGTTTGAAAGCTACTGCAATAGTCCAGAGGGAAATGGTGTTGAGTTAATCTAGAGCAAAACAGTGAAGCAAGTACAGTATAGCAAGGTATGAGTCTGGATTAATTTTGGAGAAAAAAATCAATCCAGACTCATACCTTGCTATACTTGTTGAATTTATTGTGAGAAAATGAGATAAAGAGAGGAATCAAGGTTTTTTGACTCCAAGGTTTTTTTGCCTAAGCCAAATGGTGAGGAAGACTTGGAGGAACACTGTTTCAGGAGAGGAAACCAAGAGGTCTGTTCTGAACAGTGTTTTAGTTATCTATTGCTGCATAACAAATTTCCCCAAAACCTAGCAGCTTAAAACAATGGACATTCACCCTGTCTCCCTGAGTCTGGAATCTGGCTATGGTTTAGCTGTGTGATTCTGGTTCAGTGTCTCTCCTGAAGTTACAGCTGAGATGTTAGTTGGGGCTGAGATGTCAGTCATCTGAAGGTTTGAGTGGGGCTGGAGGCTCTGTTCACAACATGGCTCGGAGACATGCACAGCAGGCCTTACCATGTGGCCCCCTCCACGGCGGTGCTTGAGCAATCTCCTAACATGGTGACTAGCTTCCCCCAGGCAAGTGAGCCAGGAGACAGCAAAGCTCTTATATCTTTCATGGCCTAGCCGTGAAAGCCACTTTCTGTCATTTCTAAAGTGTCCTGTCATTTGCACATATCAGCCATATTCATTCAGTAGGAGAGGTACCCACACAAGGGTGTGAATACCAGAAGGGAAGAATCCCTGGTGGCCACCTTGGAGAGTTGCTACCACTGATCATTAACCAACTCTTGAATTCCCTACTTTTAGATGAAATTTGTCTGAAAGCATAAACTATAAATCCTGTTTTTCTCTAGTCAGATGAAAGCTGGAAGTAAGTTATGTTACTGTGATCAATAGATTAGTTTCTTAGGGCTGATGCAACAAAGGACCAGAAACTAAGTGGCTTAACACAACAGAAATGTACTCTCTCAAAGTCCATAACCAGAAATCTGAAACCAATGTGTCGGCAGGGTTGGTTCCTTCTGGAGGCTTTGAGGAATAAACTATCCCGTGCCTCCCTCCAAGTTTTTTTGGGTTTTGTGGGGTTTTTTTGTTCTTTGGTTTTTTTTTTGTTCTTTTTTTTTTTCTTTTTTTTGGTGGAGACAGGGTCTCACTATGTCATTCAAGCTGGGATGAAGTGGTGCAATCACAGCTCACTGCAGCCTTGAACTCCTGGGCTCAAGCAACCCTCCCACCTCAGCTTCCTGAGTAGTTGGGACTATAGGTGCCTGCCACCATGCCAGGCTCAGTTTTTAATTATTTCTGTAGAGGTGATATCTTGCTCTATTGCCTAGGCTGATGTCTAACTCCTGGCCTCAAGCAATCTTCTTGCCTTGGCCTCCTGAATCAATGCGCTTATGGGCATGAATCACCAGGCCTGGCCCCTCCTAGCTTCTGGTGGTTTCCAGTAATCCTGGTCATTCAGTGGCTTGTAGACTATCACTCTACTTTCCTTCCATCTCCCATCACCTTCTCCTCTGAGTCTCTGTGTCCCTGTGTCTTCTATTTTTTATAAGGACACTCTCACTGGATTTAGAGCCTATGCTAATCCCAGTACAATCTCATCTCAAACCTTACCTTAATTAAATCTGCAAAGACTATTACTCCAAACAAGGTCATATAATGAGATTCTAAGTGGACATGAATTTGGGAACGACATTATTCAACCCCTTACAATCAATAATCTTCCATCCCCACTAGCAAAGCCTGACTCTGTTTTGTCACAGTATTGCACAAATTTCTTTAATCTAGTTAATTTGCTCCTTAAAATACTTCACCAAACTTACTTGTATGAGAGGGAAGTAATGAATTAGGGTTTCAGTTGTTTTTGTTATGACTGTTTACTACATACATATTCCATCTACTCTC